AGACTGACCGGCAGTATGCTGCTGTTAACCGAGAATATGGTCAGACTGACCGGCAGTATGGTGCTGTTAACCGAGAATATGGTCAGACTGACCGGCAGTATGGTGCTGTTAACCGAGAATATGATCACACTGACCGGCAGTATGGTCACACGCTTTTGACAAGTCACTACCACCTTGCCAATCCACCGAAAAGACCTGCACCACTCTTTATACTAACAGTAGTGGCGCGATTGACAAGCGCGAGCATGTGCAGGTGGGAATACAGATGGGAAAATACGCGCATTCCCACCGACGCTGAATGTGCTCAGGTCACGAAAGTAAGCAAACCTGCCTGATAAGTCAACCTTCCCTAATACACAGTATCGGGGACAGTCGGTGTCAAGCCTGCGTTTATATCTACATCGACTTTGTTTAGGCTACTTGTGTCTGGATACAGCCCTTAGCCAGAAAAGCAGAAACAGGTTCATTTTCATCACCGCAAAATAGACAAGAACCATTTTACACAGTCGCACAGAACAGTCTGTAGCCGATCAGATGTGAACAATACTTCTGCTTAGCCTTTGGCAATGGATTAAAATAAAGTTAACTATGTACGCATCAAGTTACTAAACTAGCTTAAAAGCTGGGTGGCTAGCTAACTACTCGCTACCTACAACATAACTTTTGCATATTAAGCAACTACAGTTTTACAAACCTCGTGTTTTGGCGTAAATGTCCCTTTTTTTCCCAAAAAGGTCCAGTTCCGTGAAGAAATAAATATAATATGTTTTTCCCTTCTTTCTGGCGTTTCACCTTAACCAGCCGGGACTAGGAGCCGTGCCGCTCCCGCACTGCGCGCTCCAGCTGCGCGTGGCCACGATCGTGCGCGTCCACGCTCGCCTGTCTGTCAGCGCTGTTTAGCATCGAGCTGCTTGTCATTCCCATTCACTTCGCTGATGCCCGTGCCGGTCTCCATGGTAAACTACGTTTACAGTATAGTGGCACCACCGTGTGGCTCTCTTGGGGAAATAACATCGACGGTACTAAACATCCATTACTGGCCTGAAATAAATACGTCAATGATAACTCATACAATTATCATATTATGTTCAAACACAATCGGTGGCTTTATGCCTGATTTTTTGTTTTCTGAAGGTCTGTCTTAATGAATAATGAGGATAGTTTGCTCTTCTGATTTCCTCCTTCAGTCACACTGAAAGCAATAGGCGTAGATCATTTAACCTGAGTTGGCATTAAATCCCCGTGGCATTCAGTGTCTCTAAACTATTGCCAAGGGTATCTGGTTGTCTGACAGATGTTTCTGTACAAATCAAGTGTAATCTATTTTAAATAATGCATTCGTAAATTTGGATAAAGCCGATTCCAAACTTTTGGATGAAAAGAACTTCGTTTGCTAGTTTTTTCCATGTTTCTCCCTCCTAGTTTGGAGGGGGCAAATTTATGTCATCCTAAGCACCCCAGATGACACACGACGCGCCTGCCAATTCGAGCGAAGTGGAGACTGGCCCTCGCAGTCAGACAAGAGCCTGAATGCTTTTCTTCATGTGCCCAGTTTCGTCGGCAGCTTACTTGTTGGTGTCGCATAGGTGGGAGGTTGTGACGGCAACCTGCAGTTATTTTGCAGCGGTTCCTGTAAAACCATTTTCTAAAATATCCTACCTTGTCTGCTGAACGTACAGGAAACGCAGGGTATTTTTGCGATGCTTTTATTCTGCTATAGAAGAAATGCGTCATTGATTGTATTAATAGGATAGCATTATATTTTAGTTTTTAAAAATGGTTTTATAGCGCATATTACTTTAAGTGTATGCAAGAAAAAAACGCTTTATAGCTTCTCAGATTCTTTGGAAAAAGGGGTCATTTACAAGTTTTGTGTTGGTGTTTTTGAGCAGAAAGCTATTCTACGTCACTTTGGACAAAAACGTATGCTAAATGAATGAATGCAGATGTTATTTACTGGTTGACAGGTAAACGGCTGAAGGTCGAAAAACACTGTTCGCCTAAGTAAAAAGTACAGAAAATATTAGCAAACATATTACGCGCATTAAAACTGACGTGCCAACAGACACTTAAACCATAACTGGGCTGGCAAGATCACACACAGAAAAGCTAAATAGGGGACATCACAAATTAGTGGGACAGAAATGCTGGTTGGCGTAATCCGGAGCATTACAAGGGCGAGTCAATGGAAACTCAACGTCGGGCAGTCTGAGCCTTAAATTCTGTGACGTCATTGAGCCGAGGACCAGTCTGCTTTTTCATGATCGTTTAATCACACATACATTTACATCATGCAGTCGAAAGTAGTTGACATCACCATTAACCCCTTCAGAGCCAGCCAATGCATCCTCTTGGAATGATCCAGTACCACTGTGCACAGGTGGAATCTTCAAAGTCAATCAAAATTTAGTTACTATTACACAGTAATAAATTTCAGCAACTTTATTTTAACTTAATGCAAATAATTTAGCTGATCGCCATGAACAACACTCATCTTTACATTTTTGCATTCAGTTTTCTAGAGTAAAACTGGAGCAAACAAAGGCTATGGTCGAGCACTTTGAAGGGTACACTGAGACGAGCCGCCACCCGAGCCGTTCTCGGCGAGCGCAGCCGCGGCATTTCCAAGGCGCTTGCAGTAGCCAAGGGCAGCGTCCTCAAACCAGGTAAAAATGCAGGTTGAAGGCAAAAAATGAGAAGTTGCCTGTCATCATCAAGTAGAAAAATAGGGCTTTTGTTTTAAAAAGGTTAATTGGGGATAAACTCATCAAAATTAGAACTGGAATGACCATTCGCAGCAACTGCTATTGTGTGTTAAAGGAGAAGCAGTTCATTAGCGTCCCATTAGCGGTAGGAGAAGTGCTTTACGGAAACATCTCACAGCACTCTAGCAGCTAATCTCAAATGCTGAAGACTGATGCTCGTTTTGTTTTCCTTCCTGTCACAACCTATCAATATTGCTCTGATAAGAGGTGGTCTGCCCTTGGCTATAACAACAGCGTTGTAGACGAATGATATTTAAAACAGGAAGATATGGTTTGGAGGATACACTCAAAAAAAAAACAAAAAAACCCACAGCGTCAGGCTAAAGCCAGCTGTTAATAAATAACCGTTTACTCTATAGCGATGGAAGTATGTTGTTAAAGCAGAAGACAAACCGCTACTTTGCCACACGTTAAGCCCCTCCCTTCTGTGCCCTGACCCATCTGATTAGCCAATCAGAAGGCGAGGAATGCCACCGCAAAATAGTTGTCAAGTGTTGGAGAATCCAGAACCTTTAATGTCATATACAATAGGCAGGACATGACCCCATTAACCCTAAATGACAACAATCTGCATGCTGGGCAGACTCACCTAGGCAAAGGGACCAAAAATTGAGTAATAATAATAATAATAATAATAATCTAAAATAGGCATACTGTTAAAAACATGGTCATGTTTGGGCTTTAAGTCCAACAGGGAGGACAAAATAGAGTCAATGAACCCCAGTAACACTAAAATAAAAAAAAAAGTATAAAAATCAATATCTACACGAAGTTCAACAATCAAAAATGGTACGATCAGAGAGCCAAGTCTAAAATGGGTGGCGTTAACAAAAACAGATAATGGAGACCCTAAACCGCCCGCCCCCATCAGAGGGGAAACCGTCAGAAGGCGCACGATCAGAGGTCTAACACAGTCTGAATGAAACCACTTATTGACCTAAAGGCCGACTGATATCTGAGGGAGAACTACTCATTTACCGAGAAAGCAAATCATGCGGAATTATAAATGGGTTATGAGTGAGACAGGGCATCTTTTTCAATCTTTAGGCCCATCACTTGTATATGCCAGCAATGCATTTTAACCATTCTGTTATGATACAGTACATTCATTTACTGAATATACAGCAATAGGATATGATCACGTACAAGCAGCTTTCTGGATGGCGGAATCGCCTTCTCTCTTCTAGAATGCACTCTTACACTCCGCTTCTCTTCACTTCTCCAAATACTTCACTTAGCCCGTGTGTCGCGTTTACCGTCCGGCACACTGGCGTCATAGTGTTTTCATAACCCTCCCCCCCCCCCACCATTTTCAGGAAAACTTGTAGAGTATCATTTCAAACCACACAACAGGACAGTACTTTTTTCGAGCTACTATTAGAATAATTTTAACAAGCTTACCAAATCTATTCAGAGAACAGAATAAGTTCACAGGCGCTACCCCCTCCCGCCCCCCCCCCCCCCCCCACCCTCGCCGCCACCCCAAACTTCCCAGTCAAAAAAAAAAACAATATACATAATTTAGGCTACAACATTTCTTGTAGGATCCATTTCTTGCCATTTTTTTTTTCGAAAATCTGTAACGTACATTCATCTTGGCACAGTGAAAACTAATTTTAAGACATAGAGGACAAGAAACTGTAGTCAGAATGGAGCCACACGTAATTTTGCCGAAGGTTGCCTATGCTGATTGCACTCAGTGGAGTGGGAGTTTGATTCCGCCCCAACTGGAAATCAATTTCATTGGAGGGGGGAATCAGAGAACAACTGTACAGACCCGGTGTGTGTGTGTGTGTGTGTGTGTGTGCACGCGTGTGTGTATATATATATTTATATTTATATATATTCATAAACTCCGCCCATGAATCCGGGTGAGAGGAGCTGACTGCAGCGGAATGGTGGAATGACAGGTTTCCTAGGCGACGTCTGCATATTCCAAAGTGATCGTTTTTCAGCAGCTGAGGAAACAGGAGAGAGAGAGCGGGATTGTAGGGTGTGTTCCAGTGGGCAAAGCAACAAAGTAGCACCCACCACAGATTGGACAACTGCAACTTGCACTGCTATTGAATTCTATACCAAGTGCTAATGATGCTGGAGTTGGCCAACACCACATCACATAGCGAGTGCAGTGCAGTTCATACTTTCTTTAGTGAGCATGCATGCATGCAGACATTAACGCTCATTAAAAATGGGATGCGCTGCCAATTCCACTAAAGGGCACTCACGTCTTGTCCTGCTTGTTGCTGCCCCCCCCTCCACGGATCGCTACTGACTGGCTGTTCGGGTAGACGGCCCGGTTCATGTTGGGGTGGGTGGGAGATGCCACCGGGGGCTGCCCGGGGCGAATAGGTTTGGCTGTAAACAGAGAGGTGGCCAGGGATCAACAGTGAGCTAGTTATTCAGAACTATAACAATCATCATCATCATCATCATCATCATCATCCAGTGCTCAGGTGGTCCAATCAGACTGTTGCACATGATGAAGCGCAAAAAGTCATTTATACCAATGCAACCAAGCCATAAAGAGAAACAGGTCTGCACTGACCAATCTGGTTATGGCTAACACTGCTGGAATAGCGTCCTGGTTTTTGCTGTTCACTCCCTGTTCAGCTGCACCCGGCCCCAACCCTAATTAGTGCTTAAAAGGAAAACCCCACCTTCAAACTCTCATACAACTGTCTGTATCCTGTGGTCAGGCCCCGCCCCCTAACTGCTAGAAACACTTCCTGTGTGAATCGTGACTGCCAGCAGAAGAGGAGGCGGTCCCGCTCACCGATCTGCGCGGAGTGCCCCCTCCTGGCCATGTTCTTGGCGCGCACGGCCTCCTTGATGCGGTCCACCTCCTGCTGGTAGCGCTTGCGGTCGCGCGCCGCGTTCTCCTTGGCCTCCTTCAGGGCCGACTCCAGCGCCTTGACCCGCTCCGCCGTGGCGCGCAGACGCTTCTCCAGCTTGGGCAGCTCGCAGCGCAGGTCCGCGTTGTCCCGCACCAGCTGCTCGACGACACACAAGAAGGGCGGTCAGATACTGCCCACGACGGCACTCGGGCTCCAGACTGAACCGCAACACCACCAGGTTGCTAAATTAAGAAACTAAATACTCTCATTCACTCAGGACAAGATTTCTTTAAAACGTTTTGCTTCTTGGTGCCGTAAAATCATTATAAGACTTTAAAATGTGGATTATTGATTAAGTTAGACCCAGTTTCCTTGTGTCCATGTCGCACCCAAACACACACGGCGACTCCACAGCAGAATGGATCCATGCTGGCTCTGTACCTGCTTGTGGACCTTGGTGAGCTGCTCCAGGTTGTTCTCCAAGAAGGAGATTTTCTGTTTCTGGGCTGCGCTGCCACCCGTGTCATCAGAATCCATCTCTGCACTCTGCAAGGCACAAAAGCGTGTGGTGCTTCCATCAGTCAGAGCCTTTTCATTGACGTGAACCAACGGCTACGGGTGGGACCAGTCAGAATTCTAGGAACTCCTTAAAACTCAGACCGTTCAGCGTGAACCTCAAAACTAACGTGATAAGGACAAAAAAAATATACAACAGACGTCTGTCGTTCTTTATGCTAAGGCTTTCCAAATCCTTAATAAATGAACAGATTAGATTAAACGCATTTTTCACACTTATTTTTAGTTATATCAGCCCAGGAGCGATATAGCTACCTTCTTGACCCTGGTTGCCAGATCTTGGACAAAGAGTTTCCTGAGGTTGTGTAGCGTCTGCAGCTCCTTTGCCTAAGAAGAGGAAAACACAGACCCCAGGGGGTGTTTTAAGGTGAGGAGCTAATGCGAGGCAAACCACCATGAAATTCCCATGGTACCCAGGCCCCTTACCACAGTCTCCTCAAGCCCCTTGAGGTCCTGCCTGGCTTGTTCCCTACGGTCCTGCATCACTCTGAAACAGCAACAACCACCCATGAATACCTTTCCACAAACACAGGCACGTTCATCCTGAGACGGCTGCCGGTCAACATACTATTAAGCTTAAATTTACAAGTAGCATCACAAAGGTTGTATCTAAGAGCGCTTGAGGTTTCCCTGTCGGGGTTATTATTTGAACGCAGCGTATTGATCATCCAATCAGGACAAAGCAAACAAGAGCGATGATCTCGAAGCGGCCAGGGGGGGGGGGGGGGGGGACGGTACGCACGTCAGGTCATGCAGCTTGCGGCTCTTCTCCTGGTCGGTGGACTTGAGCTTCTCGTGCTCCACCCTCAGACGCTCCTGCTCCAGCATGATCTTCTGGTTCAGACTGGGGGGGGGGGGTTAAAGTGACACACTTAACAGGACGCCAGCGGTGGTAGCAAGCAGTGCATCATGGGAGTGGATGGAGAGCATTAGGGGACGGCATGTGCACGCGTATGGTGATATGCAGGGCGACAGAGTGGGGGGGTCGTACTCCTGCAGCTCCGTGATCAGCTTCTCCTTCGTATCCAGCTCATCCCGCAGGCTTCCCAGCTGCTTCTGGTGGGCCTCGCGGTGGCTCTGGATCTGACGCTCCACCGCCTCCTGCAGGACGGACAGAGACAAGGCACGACGGTGTCAGAAAGGCATTCCGCCACTCGTGCGAAACGTCAGCGTTAAACCCAGGAGTCACGCTTATAAAGATCCACCTGCATACCTTGACTTCATTAGCCGTCTGAATCTCATTCTCCTTCTCCATTGCGTGGACTTTCTCTGCGGAAACAAACCTAACTGTCATTTCTCTGCTATCAGAAAACCACAGAAATCTAGAAAGATTTTATTTTTTTTTATTTTTTTTTTAAATTGCAAGCAGACTAATATCTTAGACAAGAATTATTTTTTTTTTAGTCGGCTAAACAGTACAGGATTATGATGATTATTTTTTTATGTTTTTATATGACCAAAGTGTACTGCATTCTGATAAAACCAAATGCTGCAGCATCGCTGGTGAAGATGGAATGCAGAATTAACCACGCCAAGGAGACCAAGAATCTTCAGCGGGAAGCATCATAAATCACCCACCACCCCAAAAACAACATGGGGGCAATGGACGAGTGGGGGGGGGGGCTCACCCTGGGCATTGAGCTTCACCAGCTCCTCATTCAAGGAGTCCACATTCTCCTCCAGCTGCCTCTTCTTCTGCTCCACGTTCTGCAGGTACTCCGTCAGAGACTTGATCTTCGCCTCGTGCTGTGGGGCGACGCACAGAAGATAAGGAGATCAGACAGACTTTACTGGTCCCAGGGGGACGGTCTTGTGTGTAATGCAGACAGGTATGTAGAGCGCAGATGGACACACATGTAGTGCAAAGAAAAGCCACAAAGACAGTAAACATACTGCAGAAAAGAATACGTGGTACAAACTAACCAAGAGGTACATAATTCACAAACAAAACCCTGAAATACAGAATATCAAGGAATATTAATTAATTGCCAACTAATCAATTATCGAGAAACTGTAACGTTATTATTATTATTATTATTATAGTTGATGATGTTGTTGTTATAAAACCTTCTGGAAAAATCTCAACGCTGTCACCACACTGGACAGGAGTCCCAGACCTTGAGCACCACTTAGCCATTTGGCTCGACACACCACAAGCACTCACAGAAGTATTTCATCACAACATGATTTCAATCACAGAAGGGCACCCGCGCCGGGGGGGCGCCTCCCGGCAGGCCCCCACCTGGGAGATCCGCAGCTGGCAGGCGGCCAGCTCCTTCTCGTTCTCGTCCAGCTTCTGGTTGCTCTCGGTCTGGCAGCTCTCCAGCTGCTTGCAGCGCTTCACCATGGTCTTCACCTCCGACTTCATCTTGCTGATGTAGAGCCGGGCCACCGTGAACTCCTCGTCGATCAGCCCGCTGCCCTCATGTTGCTGTGGGGGGGGTAGAGAGAGTCAGTATCGCCCAGCAGGTTGGGGGGAATCATGTGACCTATGGGTTGAAGGCCATCTGAGGATGGACCAACATGGTTAAGCACACGTCATATCCAACCTCTCCAGTGACCAACGTGGTTAACTACAGCTGACATCATCATCAGGTGACGACGCCCTACCTTAATATCATTGCTGCCCACCGCGATGCCGATTTCCGCCAAGTCTTTCAGCAGGGAAGCCATCATCTCCGTGACTCTCTTCTTCTGGTGGTTGGTCATCTCCTTCAGTTTCTGCAGCTCGGAGTCGATGGAGCTCAGGATCGACTGGAAGGGTCAGAGAAAAGCAGGCCATCAGACTCGACATTGAGCAAGAATACAGAAAAAACACACTTTGGCACAATCCCATGCTGCATGGCATCGACACAACACTAATCAATAAGTGATAAATCATAGTATCCAGACAGCAAGCAGACATCAGTTTATGTGCGGTTGTGTGATAAAGAGACTCTGAACACTACCAGCAAAGCGAAACTCTTCATTGGACCAGGCAGGCAGCCTGTGTGACAGAAACATCTCCAAGCCAATTGGTTGTCTTCACACTCACCGATTTCTGGTTGAGCTCCTCACTCAGCATCTCGAACTCCTTGGTCTTGTCTTCCACCTCCTGGCTCTTCTGGTCGTAGTTAACGGCCAGCTCCTCCAGGGCCTGCAACACCTCCTTCACCTCCTCCTTGGAGGCCTCGTTCTCTGCCTGGAGCCTGTTGAGCTCCGCCTGCAGGTTGTCATGGTCACGTCGCGTTGACGCCAACAGCTGCGGAGTCACACAGGCCAAGTCAAGTCACATTTCTTGAGGAAAAGGAAGAAGGAGCGTGACGTCCAGGCTCCCCTGCCCTCTGGGTACTCACCTCCTCCTGGTCCAGCATCTGCTGCTTCAGCTTCTCAGCCAGCTGACTCTGCTGGTTGATCTCATCATCCTACGGAGAGGGGATGCACAGGACAGCCCTTAAATAACCGCACAGCTAACCATACAGCCAACTCACTGAATTCCTGACGCACCAATATTCTTTGAAACAGTCTTTAAAGGCAACGAAGAAAACGAAAAAATAACCTTAATCATCACTAGATTTCTTCTTGATATTTTATTCTCTTACAAATATAAAGCTACCGCTTATAATTTTAAAAACCAACATGATTATTTTAGCTGGAGCTGGGCTGATGCCCCAGTCCCCACACTGCCTTTTCCTGCCACATCTGACGTGATCCCCACACCTTGTCGTCCAGTTGCTTGTAGAGCTTGGCCAGCTCCTCCTCGCATTTCTCCTTCTCCGCGTCGGTGAGCCTGACCCCGGGCACGCCAGGGGAGGCCACCTGCTTGTCGTTGTTCACCACATTGTCCAAGGCCAGGACCTCCGCGCTGGCTTTCTCCTTGTCAAACTGTTCCTCCACTGGTACAGTTTCACCTACAGCAAGCGTGGTAAACAGTCAGCGCTTAGCTCCGGTGAAAACGTAACGCTTCTGAAACTGAATACGGCGTCTGCTCGGCCCTCACCATTGCGCCAGCGATTCAGCTCGTTCTCCAGCCATGTGATGGTGCTGCGCAGGGTCTTGTTCTTCTCCTTCTCCCTCTCGTACTTCTTCTTCCACTGCTCCGCGGTGAGCTCCACATTGACACACACGGTGTTCTTGATGGTCTTCGCTCTGAAACCCCGGAGAACCTTACTGGCAACTGGCAGCCTCGGAACATCGCGACAAAGTATAATGCAGACCGACTAACAACCAGAGGAACGTCATAGGCTATAAATGCGTGAACATGAAGCTAGCAGGCCGCCAAGTAGGAACACGATCATGGTTCTTTGTCCCTTAGAGGAACAGGTCTCACCTCTGTCCGAACATGAGCGTGGTCTTGGTCTCCGCCTCGTTGAAGGAGGACGGGGAGCAGCATATAACAATGGTGGTCCTGCAGTTACCCCCCAGAGAGTCCTGAAGGATCCTGGTCATCTTACTGTCTCTGTATGGAACATACGTCTGCAAGGGAACGGTTAACCAGTGGATGTTAACACGGCCTCCCAAGGCTTCATGAAAAGCCGCTGTGATGTCAGGGACACCAGAAACCTACGGTATGAAATATGCTCATTTTTCTAGAAAGACTCATGATCAGTGTTATCAGACTTTTTGCTAGAAACATCCATAACAGTCAAGATGAGCATAGTGATGCACAAACTATTACACTTTGAAAAACATTCCCTAAACAATATATGTAAGTATTCTAAGAGTTCACTCATATTACATTAACCCCTCTTATACTGGTTATTGGGCTTTATTCCCAAACTAACAGCCTGTCAATAAGCAGACTATTGGCACAGGGGCATCTTAAGCAATGAGTGCAGATCGCTATGAGTTACTCACGGTGCCTTCCGCCAAGGCCGAGATGACATTGCCAAGCGCGGAGAGCGACTTGTTGATGTTCTTCGCCTCGTCCAGTACTGCCCCCTCTGCTCCAGTCTTGCTGACCTGCACGCAGGCAGCCAATCGGCAAATCAGCTGAAAAACTGCAGCCTCGTTTGACAAACCGCATGAGGAAAATTCCCAGGGTGGCGCCCTATCAGGAAAGCCGATACTGCAGAGCCTGTGTCAAAGGGCCGACTTCATCAGGTTGCCAATACAAGGTGACCACAGACTATTAAACACCTGGACCAAGGTGGCTCCACGGGAACGACTAAATCTAAATCAGCTATGGGACAAGGACTCAGCCAACTTCTAATAAAGCTGGCTAATTATAATGGGCTTCCAGGAACACATTACTTTGTTGGACATTTCTATGTGTGCATGGAAGGGCAGACAGATAAGCAGGTTTTTAAAATAAAATAAAAAAAACCCAAAGCATACAGAAATGTGAAGCTTCAAGGACCTCAACTGAGGAAAATGAATTGGCTCAACAGCTATTAGAAGCATTTGGGAAACACAACACAAATGAGTCACACTCTGATGGAACAATCCATGTTCCTGCACACAGACCAGCAGCTCTGAGACACTCGTCAGCGATTCTCTCCCCTTCACACTGACAATGTCAAGTTCTGTAGACCTTTGGCATTGTCTCCCGACGTGCCAAGCAAAAGCAAGGCTAAACCACAACAAAGTGTCAGGTTTATTTCTCTATCTGGAACAATAACCTTGAAGGTTTAGGGAAATGCGATACTGACCTTTAAATATGCAAATGTGTACCAGTCTAACTGTATGTCATCTAAACTAGTAAACCGATAAACCAATGTGAAGACCTCAGATTTATCTGCTCTAGATCAGGAATGTGGCATCACTGCTGTTCACTGGGACAAAGGGGCTAGAACCGCCCATCGAGCGGCACTTTGGGGAAGCGGTGCGGACGCACCTTCTCGCTGCCGGCCAGATCCACCAGGAACAGCTTGCCGCTGAGCTTCTGCTCGGTCTGCGTGTTCTCCTGCTTTACGTTGATGAGGAAGATGCTGTGGCTGCGGGAGCTGTGCTCGTTCATGTCTGCAAGGTGGGGGGGGCATTTTCATATGTGCGTGTGTATGCAGTACTGTGCAAAAGTCTTAGGCAGTCAAAGGAGACGTTTAAAGCCATTTATCTGCATGGAAATTGTATATTTGCTCAGAACAAGAACACAATTTAACATTAGAACATATGCAAATTAAGAGTAACAATCAAAACGAAGACGAGTTTCACTTTTCACTTATTTCACAGCTCACTTAAATATTTAATCAGTTAAAAAGTCAATGAGGTGTCGATTAGCCAAACTTGGTATGCTAGAGGTCAGGAGTCAAAAAAAAAAAAAACATCAATGTATTTGGACGGTTGCTGCAATTACTGGGGTGAGTTTAGGAGAGGTTTTGAAATGGCTAAGCTGACATTTTGACAGACATAATATCATAGTTTTACACCAACATGAAGATCATTTAAACATCGTTTTCTTGGACTGACTAAGAGTCTTGCACAGTACTGTATATGGTTGCCTGATCTTTAGTCTTGTACGTAAGTGAAACCTATAACACACACATTGAAGGCTGCCTACCATCCCCCTAACAATCAGACTATCAATCATCTGAAACTTATTACACAGTAGATCACCTCCCCCTGCCACACCCATGCCAGCTTGGTAGGAGTGAGCGCTAGAATACATCTCCTTCAATGGCCGACAGCACAATGCCATCTTTTCACAATGGGGACCACAGGCTTGACTGAGGGGCGCAGCATGATTGGAAGGCACAGTAAATGTCTTAAAGGCCCAGCCAAAGACAGAGTTTGGACAGAACATCTGGCCAATCAGCTGACACTGGGCTACTCACTCGTAACGGCAACGTGGCGGTTCGATTTTCCCTCGTCGATGGTGTCCATGACTTCTTCTGGGCTACAAACAAACCGCTCAGTACAGCCCTGGGTGGAGATAAGGTCTCAGTCAGGGTAAGATCATTCACATCCTGGAGAAACCCAGCCACAAGCCTTAAAGGGAACCGATTAGCTAAGCCAACATGTTACCTAACTGCTTCACATTTACACATTACCTGATATGCTGTCACAGAAATACAGCGACAACCACTTACCTTAACATATGGGACTCTGTTCTTGTCTTCATGCACTGATAAATTGGTCTTTGATACTGAAAGAGAGAGAGAAAACTGTAGTCCACCAAAAGAACAAAAATGGCAGCCCGTAAAATGAGCCAATGTGATCCACTATCATTTGTTTACAATCAGTGCTACTCAAGTATGTTACTTTAGTCAACCACTCTAGAACAAAGAGCTTACCATCCAGGAGGTCCCTAATCTTATCCAAGTAAATTTCAAAATAGGAAACCTGCAAAATAAAGTCTCCCATGAATACAACTGTACATCTTTAAAAGGGCAAAAGGACCCAGACTGCACACAGTAAACAAAGACGCAACGTCCACCTTGATGTGAAACTCCAGGTTCTCATCCATGGAATAAATGTAATTAAAAATGTCTTGGACTATTCTGGGGATGATTCCCATACCATCTGTGTCATGGAGGTTTCCCTATAAGCAAATGAAAAGAAGACATTCAAGTTGGGATGATGAATTTCTGGCATTATTTTTGCCAAACCCAAGAACCACATATGCAGGCCAATTCTGCCCCCCGTTCAATTTTGCTTGATCGATGCACAGCACGTAGTGTCTGTACATATGGCGTCGTAACTGAATATGAATACTAAAAAAAAAAACGTACCTCCATGGTGTGTGTTTTACCAGAAGATGTTTGTCCATAGGCAAAAATTGTTCCGTTATAACCTTCAAGAACATCTAAATGAAATTAAAAACACAAGGATAAGGAAACCGCTATTGCACACTACTTCAAGTAGCTATAAATGCATGTAGAAAAACAACTTGCTTGTTGTAAAACTGCATTATAAAATAATGAAAGAAAAACCGCTATGTGCAGTTAACACGTCATCATGATAATGGAAATTTTCTTTTGATTCTCCCAAAGTCTATTCCGCTTTGATGACGTTGACTAGAACGTTAACTAGTGCTAACTTGCACTAAACTCTGAAGCAGCAAGGCCAGACTGCAAATCGCCCTTTACCTTTGACGATCCTCTGGGCACACGCGTTGTACACCTGCTCCTGTGTCGTGTTAGACTGGAAGACCCTGTCAAACACGTAGGGTTTGCCCTGCACACGGAACGAGAAAGGGGACAATGAGGCAGCTGTGAGTGATGGGTCTTCGCAAAGTGCCACAGTACAGGATACTAAACAATGAGACTCTTCATGCCCAATGGAAAAAAAAACACACACACACACACACACAAAAAGAAATTCAGTAAGGGATACAATTACCTAAATTAAATACAACACAAGTATCACATATCAAGCTTTAAGGCCAAGTTTTAAAGAGTTTGAACATTTAAGGTTAATGCCGGAAAACGATCTTGTGAAGAATAAAAAAATAAAATGTATCTACTGATATATATAATTAGGCTATAAAATGCAAAACCCAGGAACTCCTCAAGCATCCCCTGCAGGCCCTGACTGGGAGTGACACGGAGATCTGAGACACTGATGGAAAGTAAGAGTGACCAGGAGCCCAGGGTTACCTGGGTCCGGGGACATTCATGACCTGAAGCAAGACGCCACAAGGCTGCGTTTAATTACAGCTCCAATCAAACTTTCATTTGCAAATTGCTACATCAACGAAACAGGTTGTCGTCCTCTTATAATGGATATGCAAATAAATGCTAGACCTAGAACACACAGAACAGCCTGGTCCCTGAGGGAATATGCCTAAGGTGTAAACCGAAATAAGCACTAACAGCTCACACAAGCGTTCACCCAGCCTGAGCTCTGAAGACCCGCTCCGTGACGACAGAACATTTTTACGTAACCAGCCTACAGCCCTCATAAAGTCACTCTCGATTTTGTGCCGGTTCTTGCATTCAGGGTTGTCTTGAGCACTGCTGTTGAAGCACATATTAACAGCTATGAAACGGTCCCATAGTTCTAAAGCACTCGAAGGCACATCAGCTGACATGATACAAGCAGGCAGATGATCCATAAATGTGACCATCTCAGAGGAACTCAATGTCTTGTTTTGTTACTGCTATTACTGTCCTCTAAGCAAAACCTAAAGGACTATCACATAATATTACAAAACAATAAAAAAAAAAAAACATATTCCTACTGGAACAATTCAGGTTTAATGCCTTCTCTGTGATGAAACAGCATGAATATACCAGGAAACCTTCTAATGTACCTATGTAAACATTCTCTGCAAGAAACCAGGACTGTAGTGCACTATCAATTGAATACTGGTTCAGTATAACTACAGATGATTATCTGCCTTCACAGCACAAAGCAAGTCAACACTTTTTGGCAGCATGAGAAGTCAGGGATGCCCAGATGTTCCCAAACCAGCTAGGACATATAATCCTTTGAGTATGTCCTGGGTCGGACGGCCAGCAGGATGATCCTGGAACAGCTCCCTTGGGAGATGACCCGGAAGCATCCTCATGAGATGTCTAAACAAGAGCCAGCTCTTCTTTTGATCAGAAGGGGTAGTTTGATTTCAAGGTCCCTCTGGATTTTCAAAGACCTCACCTGACAGTGAGCACAGTAAACTGCAGAGAAGCCTCATTTCGGTCGACCGTACTTGCATCTGTGTTATGTTGGTCATTGCCCTCAGCTCTTGACCACAGATAAAGAAAGGGACACAGCCTGACCAGTAAACCCTAAGTCTTATCTCAGGACTTCGCTCCTGCTTCAACCAAGATGAATTAAACAAAATGCATGTGTCACAGGGGAAGAAGACTAGAGTTCTAACGATTACTCGATTAAACTTGATTACTTGACTATAACAAAGCATCGATTAAAGTTTTCCTTCTCGAATACTCAGCAATATGGCGGATGGGAGGCGGGACATAGCAGATGAGGGTCCAAATAAAGAGCGAAAGCATCAGTTCTTAGAAGGTACATCACACTAAAAGTGAATGAGAATGCAGCCGTCTGTCGGTATTGCGAAGCGGAACTTAAATATTATCACAGCACGACTGCAATGCAAATACATTTTAAAAGACGACATGCAGGTTTGATGGACTCACCCAATAACGTGAGGGTAGACATTCGCCCCATTTAGCCGCGCAGAGTAGCCTAGCCTGCCTTTAACACCATATTGACTTAAAAAATTTAGCTTAATTTACTTTCTACGATTCCTGTACGTCAAAATATTTGCTGCTTAAACGAAGATTAGTCCAATCGCTTGGCTGCATCATTCTACATAATACGGTACATATAACCATTTTGAGTTAATTATTTTTTGCAAATGTATTGTGTGTTAGAACTGAATGATACTGGAAAAAGTTCACAGAGTGCGATGCGACGTCGACAAATAACTAGCTCTTGCTCGATATCGTCTCCGTAGAATACAAAACATTTCCATAAAGTGGAAGACAAACGGCTTTCCATGACCAGTTCTTGTTTTACTCCTTTTCACTTATTTTGTAAATTTCTCACATATGCGCCGCAACAACTACGAGCGAATCCACCAGCCAGGACAAGAATGATTACGATTGTCTAGGAGGGAGCTTGCTGAGTGCGGTGGGCAGCGTTGTCACCGAAGGCCGCCGCTTTGTGTTTGTGGAATCAGCACGTTCACCCCATGTGTGCGCAAATCCCCCGGTTTCCTTTCATTGTCCAAAAATATGCAACAGTGAATTGGACTGCCTGAACTGACTGCATGCGAGACTGAGTGCGCATCAACTGCAATGTATATATTATATTGTAGTACAAACAATTACTCAATGAATTGGTAGATTGATTATTGATATAATCAATAATGGTGGCCATAAAGATGACAACTGTCACATACTTTATACTCTGCCCCTTCCCTCAAACTTCTACAAGCGGAAGAGATGATCCCTTGGTCAGCAAGGACAATTCTTAGCAGTTCTCAGTCCTGTAGGTTACAGATCTGACTTCATTTTAATGATCTCCTAAATAACATTTGAAACACAAGCTACAGAGACTTATTCTGAAATAATTAAGGGCCACAACAGATTGGACACCAACACACTGTGCAGCCTGAATATAGTGTGTCACCAAAGATCAGCATTAAGATGCTACTGCTGTTTATCAAGTCAATTTATTTAACCAAAACTGTCAGTAAAAAAAAAAACAAAAATCAGAAACTCTGGAGGGTCACCCCACTGAGATTTACACCCCAAGGTCAAGTCCCTCTGACATGTGTGGTTCACATCCCACTGGGAAGAATTTGCCCAGACACAGATTCCAAAAGTCCTCTTCTGTTAGCATTAGACCCAGACGTTCCCTAAGCGCCCAGACCTCTGCATCTGTTGTTCTATAAACAGACAATGCCAGACAAAGAAATGCGCCGCAAGCCACTCACTGCTCAAATAACAAGGCCCCCGCCTTTGCCCATCCAGGGCACTTCCTCTTCCTTGTTCTTATACCCATGGCACAGAATAAAATTTCAAGAAAACAGACACAATCTATGGCGACAAGAGGCGTAGAGAAGGTGACATTTTGCTCTCGAAAGCCTAAGAGAATCGGATGGGTGCTTAAAGCATGTGCTCTCAGTCAAGATACTATCACATAAGTCAGAAGTCCACAAGGACAAGGACTCCCATTCTCCTCAATAATGTTTAACCACCTTTGGAAGACTGGCTATGATAAGGAGAGGTGAACTGCAGGATCCCTAGGACACTGCCAGCCTTTGCAAACAAGGGGGGGGAACATTCATGTAGGAGTGTATGCGGAGTTTCTATACCATATGGCATTGTAGTCAAGAGGCTGGTTGAAGTTAAATTCATGCTGACTGAAAAATATCAAGAATAAAGAATTAAACTACCTCTGTTAGCATTATTGTAGAACAAAATAACCAAAAAACAATTTTAAAGATCAATATCGTTAGCTTAAAGCCCTGCCCCAAGGGTATTAATTTTATTTGATTTTTTTATCAGAAGAACAAGCAATAAACACACACAATAACAGCGTGATGACAGTCTTATGAGGGCTGGGTCAAGTGTGAAAGATCTCAGGCTTGTCTGTGTTGAAAGAGCCATAATAGCTTCACATGCTGGTTAAGGCAGCTGGGTGTGGAACTCAAACATCCTCGTATGTCTCTCCAGCAAACTGACAGCTGAAGAATAAAGTTATCTTTCACAGGAAGCCCACAGCCTACCTACCCAGACAAGGTCGTATGCTAAGGTGTAGCACAGTGGTGCCCAACTCCAGTCCTGGGGGGCCGAAGCCCTGTGTAGCTTAGTTCTTTCCCTGTTACACGATAAATGATTCAGCTCAAGAACTGTGTGGTAATTAGCACAAGGAGTTGAATCAGGTGTGTTAAAGGAGGGGAAACCCAAAAATGTGCAGGGATCCGGCCCCCCAGGACTGGAGTTGGACACCCCTGCCGTAGCACTTTGGTTTCAACTACCATTGCAGAATCATAGCTAAACGGAGTCATAAAATCTAAATCACCTGATGCTACAGTAGTGCCGACTATAACCGTGCCTTCTGGAAACTGCACCCCAGGGCTGACCTATCCAATTACAGCAGGCTTTCAGGGAGTTCTTGTGTCATTTATTTGCAATAGTTCCTGGATAATGTAATCATAGAGTAGGTGGAGTTCTCGTCAGGCCGACAGCGCTTCAAACTGTGGAAGCAGTTAATGAAAATATCCCAACGTGACTCAGCTGACAAGGCCCATAACATGTGTATCAAAGAGCACCATCCACACTCAGGAAACTAGACCGGATATATTTTTCACCAGACAAATGCACGGACATAATCAAGAAACTTGTAAGAAACTTGGAATTCCACCCTGTCAGCATAAAGACCGCAGCTTAAGTTTCAACTACTACAGTTAAACAGTAGCGGAGGAAGCTGGAGAGCTGGACAGTAAATATTTTTGGCCCTTCAGACCTGTGGAATCCGCAGCCTGGGACACCACATGGAATCTTCCACAACGCAGCCAAGGGAACGGAGGCAATCTCTAATGGGCGGATGCCAGCTGTGCTGCAGAGGTGCGTTGAGACTCCTATCAGTGTAATCCTTACCAGCACCTCTCACTGCGACGGCCTTCATAGTTCAGCCTGACAGAGATTGCGACTGCATGTCAATTAATAACAGTGGAAAAAATCCTGGCATTTCCACCATTTGTTACATCAGGGCACTGCCATGTCTGTGCTATCAGCAATCTCATTAGCTTTTACGAGAAAATGGGCCTGTTAGGTGATCACACACACACATCACTTTCAAACAGCTGTCACACTTATTATAATGTAAACCAAAATAAAAGCAGCTAAAAGCCAGTCTTGTTTTTTCAGTATCCTCCGGACAAGTGCCCATTCCTTAAGTTATCATGGCAGCCCTGCTGTCTTTCTCCACGCAGTCTCCATTCACAGCCTGAGGCAGAGAGTATGCATCCGTGCTTGTCTGCAGGATCACTGCCTCTCCCAAGCGCCAAAATGCCAGCCCCATGTCCTTGTCACAGAGCGCGTGTCCGAACATGCACAGCTGGTGTGTGGCCTATTACCAGGGGCTCCAGTGCAGACAGAAAACAACATATCAATATGGACCAGGATGCTTTAAAGGATGATTAAGATGACACTGAGCATTTCAAGCTTGTGTTCCACACTGACATAATGAAAGGTCACATTTCAAAGCTGAATCTTATGAACCGCCCAAAGGAAAGCACTGAGCTCTAATGGGGTTCACCGTACAGCAGAGAAAAATGTTACGAGTCTTCAATATCACAGCCACACAAGTGCTGTAATATGAGTGTTTAAACCACTTCATACTGGGCTTGGATTATATCAGTCATGGAAGGGGACCAGTGAAATGAAATGGCATTCAAAAATCTGTGACACGGATCTGGCTTCTATAGTTTAGCAAGCAATAATAATAATTCTTGCTTTCCATTTCCTGGCATACAAATCACAGCGGGTATCTGGCAGCGTCATACATTTCCCAGCAAGCATTTCACCGACTTCTCCTGAAGTCATGGGAAGCCAAGGACTTGAAACCACAAGAGGATAGGGGTGACCCTGCCTTTTAATGCAACATATAATTATTTGGATGTTTTAAGAAGTTAAAGAATGAGACAGAATATGGTCAGTAATACTAAGAACAGCAGCTGTCAGCGGTGACCACATTGGTGGGCTGTACTGAGTCATTGTTCACTATCGGCCTTCCATTACTGAGAGATGTTGCTATGCAATGTTAGCATTTAGCATTAATGAAAAACTGTCCTTGCAACGGCTGATCATAAATCCTGAAAGCAAAACAAAGAAATGTGCATTTCTTCAGTGAGTGGTATATACATCATGTGTGTGTGTGTGTGTGTGTGTGTGTGTGTGTGTGTTTGGGGGGGGGGGGGAGAGACAGGAAAATAATGTGACGACTGACACCGATTCGTAAAGAAGCCTCCTACATCATGCAGTCAGGCACACCTATTAAATCCAAACCGCAACCCATCTCAGACACTATTACACATCCTCCAGCTATACCTCCATTTCCTCCTTTCCCCAAACAGTCAGCTTCAGATTTTGCAAAGATCTGAAATGTCAGGTGCGGTACATACGAAAACAGTCTTTAATGTCGCGCTCACATCTGCTCGTACCATTATTATCTAAAATGATCCAGGTTGGTAACTGCAAACATCTCTTGGGTAAAGAAATAAATACGCATCTAGAGAATTCCCGGTCATTGAAAACAAAACGCGGGTGACTGATCCAGTTCTCCCTTGCGCCAGCCATGTAGCCAGGGCAGTGCGGATGCACTCCGTCCACACCCTATAGTCAAAATATGCACCGCGTCGGGCACGATGACACCTGTCTGTTTACCGTGGAGCCTGAGAAATTGCTTTTCGTTGCTAACCTGAAAACGCGGATGTCGGTTTAAAGCCCAGTCCAAGGGTGTGGTTAAAGACGCGCATACGGACAGTCTGCAGCCATGCAAATAGCCTGCAGTCGGGTGGATACCAATTAAGAGCTTGTATTTTACAGTAGTCAGCCATCGTATATCAAATCTGCCCTCTCAGAAGATGGTTTTAATTATCAAGTCAACGACAGATCGCCACAAGGTGAATGTTCAATCACTCATCCGGCCGAAATATAACAATTACATTACCAATACCGTTAGGTAAGGTACGATAGAGCCGCACACGCACGATTATGATTGATCTTTCTTTTGCATACTGTCAAGACGCAGGCCGTGATAAACCCTGGGTACCTCGACCTTGCATAAATACAACGACGTAATATATATAAATATATCCAGGTGAACATTTTTAGATATCGCCCTACTAGCCAATCCAAGTCATAAAACCAGCCTTAGAGCTGGAAACCAGCTGGGAAGTCACTGTGCCTGTAACCCCCCGTTTGGTTTTGCAGAAGGGTCACATTTGCAATTATACTTCAATATAATAACAGGAGCGTCTATTCAGGCGAGGCTACCCGGTAGCCGACTAGCCAGCCGGCGAGCTGTGCGAGCGGCGGCCATCAAGGTGTTTCCCGTTAAATCTCGAACAAGCAATATAAGCGGGAATAAGCACAAAGCCGGTGCGGGAATAAAAAGTAAAAGAGGCGGAATGCTATAGAGAATATGTGCGGCAGGTGTCCCGGGTGAGCAGACGACAGCCAGGGTTAGCACCGCGCCAGGGCTAGGCTAAGCTAAGCTAGCGAGTCACTTCGCCCTCGCCAGCCTGTAGAGGTGAGGCGGAGACGCGGCGTCGCAGCAGCGCTCACTTACCCCGATGACAACATTGTCTTCACCTTGAAATTTCGGGATATATTTGTCCCCCCTTTCTACCTCGGCATTGTTCAGGGGCCTGAAGCGGCACATCACTTTAATCGTGCACTCCGCCGGGTCCGCCATCTTCCTCCCGTTTGGAATGAAAGCTCACAATAACGATGGTCGGCTGCTGGCGCTGAAACCGGCTCTGAGAACAGAAAACGGCAGCCGTAGGCCTGAAACGCTCGACAAACGTAGCGTAAGCAGTGGCCCGCCTGCTCCCTGTGTGACAAATGCAATGTTTTTTTCTAAAGGATGGTTAACAGTCGCTTCCTCTCCAACATGGCAGCCATGACACCGGCAGATCCTCCTCTCTGAGCCGCTGGCTTGGGACTCAGTGACGTCACCGCTGCGGACAACGCCGGTGTGAACCGACACGCCCGAACACGAGCCGAAACGCACCCGGAAAGACCCGAGTGAAGTCGGAGCACTGCCCGAACAAAACTCGGGAACAGCAGACGGGTCGGCCGGTTCACAGACAGCCTGTTTCCCGACACTAAGGAGATTTGTTAATTAATAATTAGTGATGGGGAAAATGAGACTTCGAGACCCACGGTGGGTGCGATTGTCGTCCGCTGTCAATCACCTACCGATATGACCTACCTCTCATTGGTTGGTTTACTGGTTCCTATTGGATTAATCCATTCAGTGGTTGACAACGCAGCTTAATCCCGCCTGTCAAGATTTTATTTCCCTATGAATACCAATTGCATATGATTTATGAAGGCAATAGTATTTGTTCACCTCACTGGAGGATTTAGGAGTATTACTAATGTTACCCTTAATCCACATTTATGGCTAGACAAAATAGAAACACCGTTATTCATGTGTACTTATTTGTGCAGAAAATTACGATGCAAACTGTAGGAAACAGGGACCTAGGAATGTGGAAGAGAACGATCAGAAAGAGGAATATGAATGGAACAGTAGAAATAGAAACAAACCGACAAAATGTTTTGAAATAATGCTTCTATCCGGGACAACGTGTGTGCTGGAAATACTTTTTATGCCAAGCGCCGGTTTAATTTCAACAATTTATATGTCATTGTTATTGAAAACAAAGCATATGCGAGTAAACTGAAATTCATGCACTGTTCGTTGAAAACTGTCTCGAAGCTTTCCACTTCATCACACAATAGTCCAAGTATATTCCATGCAACTTCACACATGTCAGATCAACCTGTGCAAACATTTGGAATCGGCACGTCATAAAATAAATGTGTTTTTTTTTTGGCGAAAAATAACATTCTTCAGATGTCCCTGACTTAGTTTCAGCATTAATGATAAATGTGTGTCATTAGACTAGCAAATGACCTTTAATTCCAACAATGTATATTTCGCCCTTTTTAGATAAAGGCTCTATGTCTCATAAAATCCACCACTGTCGGCCTGTATAGAGTTTTTCTCTGGTTTTATCCCATGTCAGTAGTAGGATTGTACGGGCTAACATCTTTCAAATGCTACTATGAAAAAATGAGGTAGGCCTAGTATTATTACCCCGAAACCATAAAGGGAGAGACTTTCTGAATAAAAGCAGTATTCGGTGCGCTAACCAATCCAACTGTGAGTAATATAGGGTAATGCTTGACCTTGATCTAAATTACTAAGCTCGTATATCTAATGTAATAAAATAGCTTTCTTTCACTTAAGGAAAGGTTGGGCCATTTTTCGCAACATGATGCGCAGAAATGGTTCTGTGTCTTTATAACAAATAGACTCAATTACTGCGATGCGCTTTTTATTGGTCTGCAGCAAATGGCATTATGTAGAGCGCAAGAAGAAACGGGGAACGGTGGCCCTCACCATTTAAGATTAAGATAAAGATTGACATCGCTCATCCCAGGGAGATGTTCTGGTGTGCACAGCAAAATAAAAACATCTGTACAGTGTCATCACAATATACAGTGTAAGCAAAGTAGTGGGAAAAAATAGATTAAAATTTGCCAGTATTCTCATCTTGGCATTGGATCCATCTTCTGTAACTGCTTGTCCTATTCAGGGTCATAGGGTTCCGGGAGCCCATGGGAACAAGCTAGGATGGGGTGCCAACCCATTGCAGGGCACACTCACAATTTGGTAACTCCAGTTAGCCTCACTGGGTTTTTAGACCGTGAGGGGATACTGGAGTACCCAGAAGAAACCTTACTACAACACAGGGCAAACATGCAAACTCCACACACTTTGAACCTTGACGAGGCTTAAACTCTGGTCCCAGATGCGTGAGATGACGGTGCCAACCACTGCACCAGCGTGCCACCCAACCACTGCACCAATGTGCCACCCAACCACTGCACCAGCGTGCCACCCAACCACTGCACCAGCGTGCCACCCAACCACTGCACCAACGTGCCACCCTTGCTCCCCCCTTACATTTTACATTAATTGTTTTAACGGTTTTTGAACCTCATGTTGGTTTAGTACCTGAGTACATTAAGACCACGTGGAAGATAGACTGTCTATCAGAATGTAGACCAATCTGTGGCTCCACTCTGCACCAGCTGCATCCATCGTATACCCCCCGTCCCCAGTTTGGTCTGCAGTCTTGTTTCATGCACCAAAGGCTTTGAATTCATTTTCAGGATAGCTGGTATAAAAAAGAGATGCTGATATTTTATGTTGTTCTCTTACCTTGGCATTAATAATCTCGTTTGCGTTAATTATGTCTCTAACTTTTTTAATTGGCACACCTGGTCTTTTTTCTTGTTTTTTAACGGTCTTTTTCTATTTGTGAGTAACTTCTTTATATTCCTAGGAATGTGAAGTACTTTGGGTTGCTGTCCGATTTAAGAAATTCTAATGATCGTATTGTTAATAGTAGAAACTCATATAATTTTTTCCCCATACCAACCAGGGGCATAATAGAGAAACCTCTTCGGCAAAGATCGGGGGTGTAAATATATCTCAGGCATGTGCTTATAGAGCAGATGCCACTGGGGGGTGGCTGGAAAAAGCTGCAAGTGTGACCAGGCGTGGCAGTGACAGGTCTCAGTTTGGCATGGCCTAGAGGCTAGAGGAGAAGTCGCCCAACCCTGTCCTGAACCAAAGCCAAGAGCATCTCCATCCTCCACGCACCTCCAAAAACCATAGAGAAATGGTGCAGATGCTCCGGATAAAATTCCTTGTAATTAACTCTTGAGACTGTTGGTGTACTGTCTAAATTCAATAAAAGCGATTGAGAGCTCAACCACGACCGACTCCAGTCGTCATGCCCAGCTGTGGGGGATCATGGGATTTTGACGCAGGGTCAAACCGCGGTAGGATAGTTGAGTCCACTAGCTGACTGCACTGGGTGGCAGACAAGCACACGCAGGTCTTTTCCCGAGCTGCCCCACAGGAGAATGGAGATGAATGTCCATGGAGACGTGTGGGAGATGGCGCACAGCTAGGAACTAGTGACCTGGAACTTATGCCGTCTGACGGAGGAGCAATCCGTCGTGAACCGAGAGGGTGCGAGTTACGTCACGGACGACCGTCTGCCGAGAACTCGGGAGCTGAAGAACCTGCTACCACCAACCTCTGCACAGCCAGTGAGTTGACCTACTAGGCTGTCTTGCCAAAGCCATCCTGCGTATACTGAGCCTCACAAAATAGAGGGGCCGCTAAACACTGGAATTCCAGAAAGTTCATCCAAAGAAAGCCTTCTGTCCTTCAGAAAAAGGTCTTCAGAAAAATAATAAGGCACAGGGATGCCTCGCACCTCTGGAACCAGGGTTCGAGCCTCTGCCATGGCCTGTGTGTGGAGTTTGCATGTTCTCCCCATGTTGGCTTGGGGTTTCCTCCAGGTACTCCGCTTTCCTCCTACAGTCCGAAAACATGCTGAGGGTAATTGGAGGCACCATATTGCCCATAAGTGCGAATGGTGTGTGTGCCCTGTGATGGATTGGCACCCCATCCTGGGTTATTCCCTGCCTTGTGCCTGTAGCTGTGAGTGTGCTCTGTGATGGGTTGGCGCCCCATCCTGGGTTGTTCCCTGCCTTGTGCCTGTAGCTGTGAGTGTGCTCTGTGAGGGGTTGGCGCCCCATCCTGGGTTGTTCCCTGCCTTGTGCCTGTAGCTGTGAGTGTGCTCTGTGAGGGGTTGGCGCCC